TGGGTGTTTCTGAATTATTCAATCTTAAAAATGTTATTTTAAATACCTAAGTAAGCTTACTGATGTAACTTCATTCAAATACATTTTATTAAAATAATAAAATATATGATTGATATTTTATATTACTGTATTTTTAAATGTTTATTTTTGAGAGAGCGAACAAGCACAAGTGGGGGAGGGGCAGACAGAGGGGGACAGAGGACCCGAATCAGGCTCCATGCTGACAGCAGACACTATGATGTGGGGTTCGAACTCGTGAACCTTGAGATCATGACCTGAGGCAAAGTTGGAAGCTTAACCAACTGAGCCACCCAGTGTCCCTATCCTGTTAATCATTTGAAAATTAAATCTGACTAGCTGTAACTTCTACTAGGAAGTCTTTGTTGGTATCTTGAACGTATGTTGTATCCTCTGTGGGAAGAGCTGTATTTCTTAAATACTTTTATTTTCTAGGTCCTCTACCTCTGTTTTGTTAGTTTGTTTAATTTTTTAAAATGTTTTTTATTTATTTCTGAGAGAGAGAGAGAGAGAGAGAGAGAGAGAGACAGCATGAGCAGGGGAGGGTCACAGAGAGAGGGAGACACAGAATCTGAAGCAATCTCCAGTCTCTGAGCTAGCTGTCAGCACAGAGCCTGATGCAGTGCTCAAACCCACGAACCGTGAGATCATGACCTGAGCCGAAGTCGTACGCTTAACCGATTGAGCCCCCTGGGCACCCCATCCTCTACTTCAGTTTTGTTGCTAGGCACAACTAAATGTCATAAAATGCTTTAAAACTGACATGAATTTTTCATGCTTGCTAAATTGTGATCAGGTGTTTTGGTATGGCAGATTCTACAATAGATCTAACAGTAAAATTTTAATACATTGCCTATGTTAGTAGAGAAAATATTACACAATTTCTAGAATTTGTTAGGGAGAAATATAAAGTATTTGAAATGAGAATATGTTGCCTGGAAAAAGTCAGATTATTACAAAAATGTAAAATTAATTTAATGAACAAAAATTTTTAAGTATCCTAAGTGTTAGGCTCTAGACTTAGCCACTTTGGATTTTAAGGCAAACATCTTATGTTTCCTTTTTCCTGAGAAGTTTGTAATCCATGAAACTAATATAACACTGGATGTTAACTAGCTGGAATTAAAATAAAAACTTTAAAAAGTTTGTAATCTGGGTGCCCCTTGGTGGCTCAGTCAGTTAAGTGTCAGGCTCTGTGCTGACAGCTCAGAGCCTGATGCCTGCCCGGGATTCTGTGTCTCCCTCTCTCTCTGCCCCTCCCCTGCTCACGATGTCTCTCTCTCTCTTGCCCTCTCTCTCTTTCTCTCTCTCAAAAATAAGTAAACATTAAAAAAAAAAAAAAGACCAAAAACAGTTTGTAACCCTGTAGTGGAGACAGGTCTGTAAACATAGGGTTAAATACAGTGTAATTAGCACTGTGATAGAGGAGTGTACACGGGCCCCACAGGAGAGCATCTGGCCTTTCCTTAGCGGGGAGGAGGATAGTTAAGTCAGAGAGGGAATCAAGTCTGCTTTTGGGAACCAGGTGGTATTTAATCTGAATTGGGGAAAAAAAACACGCAGTAAAATTGTCAGATGAAGATATAGGACAAAGGTATTTAGTTAGAAGGAACAGGGTATGAGAATAAGAGCATAGCATTTTGGGGGAAGTTGTAAGTTGGTCCTCATAGCTGTGGAGGGCACGTGTGGGGTTGGGTGGGGGCTGCCTGGGTGGCTCAGTCGGTTAAGCAGGTGACTTCGGCTCAGGTTAGGATCTCCCTCGTCACGAGTTCGAGGCCCACATCGGGCTCTGTTCTGACAGCTCAGAGCCTGGAGCCTACCTCTGATCCTGTGTCTCCCTCTTTCTCTGCCCTTCCCCGACTCGTGCTCTCTCTCTCTCTAAAAAATAAAAATTAAAAGAAGAAAACCTTACCTTTAGAACCAGAGTAAGCTGCTTCGGATTAGACTTAAAATTTTGCAAAGATCTTCTGGTGGTGGTTTGGAGTATAGATTTGTTTTTGTTTTTTAATTTTTTTTTGTTTTATTTATTTTTGAGAAAGAGAGAGACAGAGCACGAGTAGGGGAGGGCCAGAGAGAGAGGGAGACACAGAATCTGAAGCAGACTCCAGGCTCTGAGCTGTCAGCACAGAGCCCGACGTGGGGCTCAAACCCATGAACCGTGAGATCGTGACCTGAGCTGAAGTCAGATGCTTAACCGACGGAGCCACCCAGGTGCCCCAGTTTGGAGTATAGATTTGAAACAAGAAGTCACATTACGGGTTTGTTACAGTTATCCAGGTTCAAAACATGATGATCAGATGGGGGGAGAGGAGCCCACAGGGCTTGGTGCATGTATGATGGGGGGAATGAAGCATGATGCCAGACCCAATGTCAAGGATAACCTGGTTTCTGGCTTGGACAGCTAGGTGGCTGATGGTGCCATTATAAGATGCATAACACAAGCAAAGACTGGTTTGGGGTGACAGGAAGGGAGGTCAGATGGCGATTCTCTTTTGCTTGTACCAAGTTCGAAGAGGATATAAGTGAAGGTATCTAAATGGTAGTTGGGTTTATAGCTGTGAGCGGAGAGACCTGGGGGAGGGTGACGTCACCTGATGAGAAGCCACACAATAAGAAGAGGGCAGGGTGGGCCTGCAGAAGGTGGCAGGTGCGTGGGGGGAAGATGGAGCAGCTGCTAGAAAGGTCAGCAGAAAACTAGGGCAGTATGACTTTGGAAGCGAGTGGAGGAGGGAGTTTCAAGAAAGTGAAAGTGATTACAAATTATAAATCAGCCATCCAGCCAGCCAGTCAGTCAGAAAACTATACATCAGCTTTAGCCACAGAAAGGCCATTTGTTAGTGAAGAATGCACTGTAAGAAATTTCTATCAGACAAGTTTTAATGACTCTGAATCTCGTGTATGGAGTAAAAGGAAAGTAAAAATTTAACTTGACTTGAAAAAGCATGAATAGGGGTGCCTGGGTGGCTCAGTTGGTTAAGTGTCTGACTTCGACTAGGTCATGATCTCACGATTCGTGGGTTCGAGCCCCACTTTGGGCTCTGTGCTGACAGCTCAGAGCCTGGAGCCTGTTTCAGATTCTGTATCTCCCTCTCTCTCTGACCTTCCCCTGCTCATGCTGTCTCTCTCTCTCTCAGAAAAAAAAAAAATTAAAAAAAAAAAAAGCATGAATAAATCATGGGTTCCTGTTCTTCTTCTTTTTTTTAAATGTTTATTTATTTTTGTGAGTGAGAGAGAGAGACAGACAGACAAGAGCATGAGCAGGGG